ATGAGTAGCCGCTGATTTTTAAACAGTAACCCCTGGCTCTGTATCCTTCCAATAGAGCAAACATCCTCTCTGCACCCAGCCTGTCAAGGCCTCTCAAGATCTTATATGTTTCAACAAGTCACTTCTTACCCTTCTAAACTTCAATGGATACAGCTCTATCCTGTCCAACCTTTCCTCATAAGAAGACCCTCTTATTCCTGACATTAGTAACCTTCTCTGAACTCCCTCCAATGCTTTCACATCCTTCCTTGAATAAGGTGAACAAATGAACAAATTAGGAGCTGCAACAGGCCATTCAGCCAATTGAACCCACTCTGCTATCATAATACCAGCTAATAATAGGAAAATATAACAGTCTAGAGATTGGCAACTTGTAAAGCAAACTGTTTCATAGTGTTCTTAAACAATGAATACTGGTGAAACTTCTAAATCATTGATCAGCCATGTTTCAATGCTACTTGCACAATAATATCCAACAGTATATTTTTCTCTCACATTTTATACCTCGACTAAGGCAAAACTATTTGTAATGTGCACTGTGGGAAGGATTTCTCACTCCAGCCAACTGTGTTTTATGGGAAAATGAGGCCATTCAGTCCCTTGAGTCTGCTTCACTATTTCATAAGGTCGTGGTCGATCTCATTATAACTCCATATTCCTGCCTACCCCTGGATAACCTCTGACTTCAACTTGCTCACCAAGAATCTACCCATCTTAGCCTTAAATATATTCAAGGACTCTGCTTCTATCACCTTTTGAGGAAGTGAGTTCCAAAGGCTCACAACACTCTCTGGGAAAACGTTTTACTCGATCTCTGTTTTAAATGGGCAGCCCCTGATTTTTAAACAGTGACCCATAATTCTATATCCTTCCGTAAGAGTAAACATCCTCTCCACATCCAGCCTGTCAAGGCCCTTCAAGATCGTATAAGTTTCAATCAAATCACCTCTTACCCTTCTAAACTTCAGTGGATACAGCCCACCCTGTCCAACCTTTCCTCATAAGAAGTCTCTCTTATTCCTGACATCAGTAACCTGGTAAACCTTCTCAGAACTGCCTCCAATGCATTCACGTTCTTCTTTAAATAAGGTGACCAATACTGTGTACCATACTCTAGATGGGGTCTCACCAGTGCCCTGTACTACCTCCCAACTTCTATATGCAGTTCCCTTCACAAAGAGTGATAACATTCTATTAGCTTTCTAATTACTTGCTGTCCTTATATTTTGTGATTCATGCACTAGGACCCCTCTGCATCTCAGAGCTCCGCAACCTCGCACTGTTTAAATAATGCGGTTATTTTTTATTCTTCCTGCCGAGAAGGACAATTTCACATTTTCTCACATTATATTCAACTTGCCAAGTCTCTGCCCACTCGGTCAATCTTTCTGTGTCTTTTTTAGCCTCCTTATGATGTCTTCACAATGTACTTTCCTACCTATCTTTGTATCAAGTACAAATATGCTTCATCAAACTCATTCATATAAATTGTAAACCGTACCAATTGTCATGGTACACTACTTGTTACATCTTGCCAATCAGAAAAAAGACACATTCATGTCTACTGTCTGCTTCCTGTTGTCCAGCCAATCTTCTTTCCATGCCAATGTGCTACCCACTACACCCTGAGCTTTTACTTTCTGCTGTAACGTTTGAAGTGACCCCTTGTGAAACATCTTTTGGAGAAGTAAGAACAGTACATCCACCGGTTCCCCTTTATCCACAGTAGATTTTACGTCCTCAAAGAACTTCAATAGATTGGTTAAACAAGATTTCCCTTTCACTAAACTATGCTAAATCTGCCTGATTACCTTGAACTTATCCAACTGCCCTGTTATAACTTTTTAAATAATAGTTTCCCCATGACAGATGTTAAGTGAACTGGCCTGGATTTTCCTGCTTTGTATCTCACCCCCACACCTCTTTTTAAATAAAGGATTAGATTTTCTTTTTTTCCCCTAATCTAATGGAAACATCCCCGAACCAAGAGAGTTTTGGAAAATTGAAACCACTGTATCAACTATCTTATTAGCCCCATCAAAACTCGCCACATCTCTAGCAATTTATTCAGTACCACTTCTCCAGTGATTGTGATTTTCCCCAGTTCCTCCCTCCCTCTATTTCCAGATTCGTTGCTTCTTTGGGATGTTACTGTATTCTCTACAAGGAAGACCGATGCAAAATAATGATTCACTAATACCATAATTAACTACCAGAGCCACTCCCCATCTTTTCCTTGTTTCTTGTCATTCCTAAATGCCCTGAATCCTTCAAGATTCATCTCCCAATCTATGTATAATGCCTCTATGTTAAAAAAATTAGAAAAATGGATCTAAAATGACACTTGGCATCTTCCCACACCTACTGAGGGTACAGCCTGAGGCCTACATTGTGACCCAAACCATCAAGGATGTCAACTCCTTCCGCATTCTATGTCATTGCATCATACGACCTCCCACCACCAATGATTCAATATTATGGTCTGTCTCCTCTAACAGCAAAAGTTTCATAAACAAAAAAATGTTCAAGGAAAATGAAAAGAAACCTAAATTTTTCTATAATAGTGGGAACTGCTGATGCTGGAGAATCTGAGATAACAAGGTGTAGAGCTGGATGAACACGGCAGGCCAACCAGCATCAGAAGAACAGGAAAGCTGACATTTCGGGTCTGGACCCTTTTTCTAACATCACTGCATTTTTCCACCTGGTTCCTCACAACAACGTCCATTGCATTGCAGGACAATTCTGGATAGCGCTGTTTGCAATAGAGGCATGTTTCTTCCTCTTCCAGTGCAAAGAAATGTTAAAATGAGTTGATTGTTTGACATTTGTTCAATTCAGGATATAAGGGGCAGTGTTCCCAGCAGGTCTGTAGTATCACACACTATGTACTGAAAGGTAATGGGCATAGTATGAGGGTCTGTAGGCATTTTTCTATCAAAAAATATAGAAACATAGGAGCAGGGTAAGGAGATTCAGTCCCTGGAGTTTGTTCCATCATTCAATGAGACCTGTGGCATAACTCTAGTTATTTGACTTTAGCCCATTTCCCTTCATACTTTTGCTTAACAAAAATGTATCCATCTCAGTTTTAAAATTAACTACTGATCCAGCATCCCCTACGTTTGTGGAAGAGAGTTCCAAACCTCTCCCACCCTTTGTGTGTAGAAATCGTTCCTAACATCTCTCCTGAACGGTCTGGCCCAAATTCTCAGAGTATGCCCCCTCTAGTTCTAGATTCCCCAACCAGTGAGAATAGTTTATCTTTATCTACCCAGTCTTTTCCTGTTAACATCTTGAAGGCAAAATCTAGGCAGAGAGAGAGAGAGAGAGTTGACAATGTAGTTTTGAGGGGTGTCACTCCATATTAAACATGCGACAAGGCCAAAATAGGAATTGAACCTGAGCTGTTGGTGCTACACTGAACCAAGTATTAGCTATAGAAGCCAACCAGCTTATTAACCCAGGTTGTACTGCTGCTCAAAAGATAACATCACCATTTCCTGCCTCAGTGGGCACTTTCACTGTGATCTCCTTTTCCCGAGAGAGTGATCTATGGGGAGTAGCTAGTGACACTTTGGAACATTCATTTCAATGAGAGTTTCAGCTTCATACCAGCTTGGAAACTGTTTCTGGAAAACCAGAGGTTGTAAATAAAAAGGATAAAGGGGATTTACAGGAAAACAACAGACATTTTTACATTGATATCGCAGTGCAGTTATGTATCATCCTTACAATAAACATAGCTGAAATATGTAGAAACAGTGACACGAGGGAACCACTCACTCCAAAAGGCACTCATGTACGTTACAGTAACCATTGTTCCAGCCAAAGATAAATTTGCTATTCCTCTGGCATCATCACAGAGTTTCCAGCAATTAATTCCCAGCGCATAAGTAACCCAGGAGAGGCATGGCAGAGACATTATAAAATTAATCACAATTTTTGTCATTGATTAGTTGTAATATATTGGAAATGGGACAAATTGGCTGTTTGATTGATGCTTATTCATCATCCAATCATAAATAAGTCACTGGACTCGACACATTAATTCTGCTTTCTCTCTCTACAGATGCTGCCAAACCTGCTCAGTTTCTCCAGCAACTTCTGTTTATGTTTCGGATCGCCTGCATCCGCAGTTCTTAGTCTTTATTATTAATAAGGTTCCGGAGACTGTAAGGACTGCAGATGCTGGAAGCTAGAGTCAATAAATGTGGAACTGCAAAAGCGCAGCAGGTCAGACAGCATCTGAGGAGCTGGGAAGTTAGTCCCACTCAGCTAGTCCCACTCCTCTGCCCTTTCCCTGAAGACCTGCATATTTTTCTCCTTTGTACACTTCTCCGATTCCTTTTGGAATGTATTGGTTGAATCAGTCCCTCGGCACACCCTCAGGCAGAACCTCTCGCTGCAGCAGGTGGGATTTCCGTCCCGTTGCCTTTGTTCTTTGGCCCATCACCTTGAATCTGTGTCCTCTGGTTTTTTATCCTTCTGCCAATAGGGACAGTTTGTCCCCATTTACTATGACTAGAGCCCTTGTGATTTTGAACCCTCGATCAAATCTTGTCCCAACTTTTCCGACTGTAAGAAAGGAATGACACTGGTTTCTCTGACAATTCCACATGATTGAAGACCCTTGGAGAACCGAGGGCAGGACAGGGACAGGTAATGTAGCCGCAAGAATGTCATCCAACTAAAGTTGGCAATGACACCGAACGGTTTCTGGGAATTTCTGAAGCATCCGATTGGTTTAGTCATCTGTATTCAACTCTGAAACTTTACTGTAAACAAAATCAATAGATCTGTCAGCCTTTGCCCATTTCTACCTACAAATTTGCTACTGCATTAATTAGAGTCATTGTTTACTTTATTGTGGGATCTAAAATTGTGGTAACCAAGGCAATTATTGCATGTATTAGCTCGTCAAAAGAGATTTCATAGTTGCAAACTGTGTAATGTTCCAAACACCGGAAAATATTACATTGACACAGTCTCATACTCACAGCTGCATCACAAGGTATAAATGGTTTGGGCTCTCGTAAATGTCCTCCAGGGCCACAATGTTTTCATGCTTTATTCTGGAAGCAAGAAGATAGCAGCGTAAATGCTCGCTCTCATTACAAGAACAAACAGTTCAATTTGAGACATGGGCCAGCTTCTGATCTACCCAGCCTTGGTATCTTTAATCCAGTTACACGCTCCGGAAAAGATGTAAAAGGTTTATCTTTAAAAGCTCTCGCAAGTCCTTTTCAAGCAAAAAGATCACACTTGCCAATCATTATGTGCTTCAGTGGAACATCATAGTTCCTACGGGCCAAATGCTGGCAAACGGGACTAGTTTACTTTCGGATATCTGGTTGGCATGGAGGAGTTGGACCTAAGGGTCTGGTTCTGTACTGTACAACTCTATAACGCTATCAGCAGATTGGGAGTGTCTGCTCTCTGTGAAGGTCACAAATATCATCTCCCTAAAATAAACCTGAGAATACATCTGCTCTAACTTGCCGAGAGCCCCTGGCTTGTCTAAAGCATCAGGAAAAGGCCATCTGCTGGAAAATGGGATTGGAATGGTCAGGTGGTTGCTTTTGACTAGCACAGACTTGATGGGCTGAAGGGTCTTTTTCCTGCTTTGTTGACCTCAATGATTTGATAACTCTAAGGAGAGCCAGATCACTAGGTCAATTCCAGAATTGAGAAGATTGGCTTATACGGAAGGTTTGAGTAGACTGGAACTACACTCATTAGAATTTAGAAGAATGACAGGAGGATCTTATAGAAACATATAAAATTACAAAGGGAATAGATAAAATAGAAGCAGGGAGGTTGTTTCCTCTGGCGGGTGAAACTAGAACAGGGGGCATAACCTCAGAATAAGGGGGAGCAGATTTGGGGCTGAGTTGAGGAGGAACTTCTCCCAAAGTGTTGTGAATCTGTGGAATTCCCTGCCCAGTGACGCAGTTGAGGATGTCTCGTTGAATGTTTTTAAGGCGAAGATAGATAAATTTTTGAACAGTAAAGGAATTAAGGGTAATGGTGAGTCGGTGGGTAAGTGGAGCTGAGTCCATGAAAAGATCAGCCATGATCTTATTGAATGGCGGAGAAGGGTCAGGTGGACTCCTCCTGCTCCTATTTCTTATGTTCTTAGGAGAGTTTGTTGGAAGGGCAAAGCTGTAAGTATTTGAGGAAGGGACTGGGGCAAGGAGTGAAGTCTATGGTCAACTTTCAATGGCGCAGGAAGAGAAGCTGGGAGTCGTGAACTTACGTATGGATGGGGAAGATGGGCTGGGACAGTCGGTTAGTTAGAAAGGGGGAAGTTAGAAGGTGGATTTTCCTTTCTGGGTGATCGTCCTGGCAACTCGAGGTACTTTGTTGATAAAAATGCTTTGAATTATCCAATAACTTGAATCAAAGAATTGAATAAAACAACTCTGTGGGAGGTTTGCTGCACAAACAACAATAACTTGAATTAGAGATAGTAACAACTGCCGATGCTGGAGTCAGAGATATCACAGTGTGGAGCTGGATGAACACAGCAGGCCAGGCTGCATCAGAGGAGCAGGAAAGTTGACGTTTCGGGTTAGAGGTTTCTGAAGAAGGGTCCCGACCCAAAACGTCAGCTTTCCTGCTCCTCTGATGCTGCCTGGCCTGCTGTGTTCCTCCAGCTCCACACTGTGTTAAAATAACTTGAATTAACAAACCTCGATAATCTGCAGTTCCACTCTGTTTCACACAGACTTTTGTCAATGACTCACCATCATCACAAGATGCAGCAATAAACATCTGGGTGGTGGGGGCTGGAGTAGAGATATAGCACCACCACCCCACTTCCTCACCCCAACAACGCCACTCAGAAAATATATCTCGTACATTCCAGACTTTTACAGTTCATCATTTTTCAGGCTTTAGAGTCAATTTTTCCCCCAAAGAAATAAAGGAATGTTGGTCATAGCTGCATCGTGTGTTAACGGCCTGTGTATGTTGCAATTTCAGTGGTATTACTTATTGTTACATTTCATTGCACATCCATTTATGAATTGCCAGCCGTTTGGAAGGTTTGTCAATCTTTTTGAAATTGCTGTTTAGTTTTTCTCTGGCTGGTTTCTCAGGATGGCATGTACGAAAGGAAAAACATTTTCAGCACATTCAATGCTGGGTTTCAGATGCCAATGATATGAACATCACGTTTGTTTGTACATTTCACAATGTTTAATCGTTGATCAAGTGACACACTACAGGCCAGTTTTAACACACAAAGCAGATTCAGAAGATATAAGATTGCAATCTTTTCCACAAAGACCTTAGAAATTGAGAGAATCCATCTCGGAGCACGGTGGCTCAGTGGTTAGCACTGCTGCCTCACAGCACCAGGGGCCTATGGTTCAATTCTATCCTTGGGTAACTGTCTGTGTGGAGTTTCCACATTCTCCTTGGATTTGTTCCAGTTTACTCCCACAGTCCAAAGATGTGCAGGCTAGGTGGATTGGCCATGCTGAATTAACCATGGTGTTCAGGATGTGTAGACTAGGTGGGTTATAGGGGGATGGGGTCTGGGTGGGATGCTCTGAGAGTTGGTGTGGGCTTGTTGAGCCGAAGGGCCTGTTTCCACACTGTAGGGATTCTAACTCTAAGAATGAAGAAGTATATCTAATGTTTGGCACTTGAGGTGAAGAAAGGTTGATGATGATAAGTATCAATCAAGAAAGGCCTAACGACCATGTGTTTTTGTCAACAGAATTATCAATGCTAGTATACTTCAAGAAAACCTTCACATGTGCTCCTACAAAGCCTATGAGGAATCATTAATTAATCTCCCTCTGCAGCTCATTGAGTACAAGTTCCCCAGTATAAGGCAATGGCATGCCAAACTGTGCCCTTTATAAAGGAGACCGACTGTGCAGTTCTATTCATGCCCAGCTGTCCTTGGAGAGGACCAAACCTTGTGGTGTTTACCAAAGCCCTCGATGCCTTTAGAGAGAGGTGGGCACCAAGTGGGGTACAGTGCTTTATTTCCACCCCAACTCCATTTTGATTTAGCCCCTTCCCTTTCTCCCTACGTCCCCCTCACTTTTTGATGGCTTGCATTGCCCATAATGGACTTTGCTCGTAAATATCCGAATTGGCTACACAGGTGATTACTGGTGATAGTCAGCAGTTTAAAGAAAACAAAAAAAAATGTCACAATAAAAACCGAAAGAACTGCGGATGCTGTAAATCAGGAACAAAAACAGAAGTTGCTGGAAAAGCTCAGCAGGTCTGGCAGCATCTGTGAAGAGAAAAATCAGAGTTAACGTTTCGGGTCCAACGACCCTCCCTCAGAACTGATGGTTGCTGGGAAAACGTCGAGTTATATGCAGAAAACAGGGAGGAGGATGAGGTAGGGAGTAAACGATAGGATAGAGCCCAAAGAGTGAGAAGAGCAGTTGGATAGATAAAGGAGTTGATAATGATCAGACTAGGAGGGTGAATAGTTGTTACTAGGGACTGTTAGTGACTAAAACAAAATCACGGTGATTTGGTTGTGAGAAAGCTGTTCCGTTGTCTGTAAGAGCATTTCTGGATATTAAAAAAAGTAAAAACAACAAAATAAAGTGGACCAAGGGATGGATCTGCAGAACTGTCTGTCCCAGGCTGGGACTAACCCATGTATACCTTTCTTTATTCGTTCGTGGAATGAGGGCATCGCTGGCTAGGCCAGCATTTATTGTCCATCCTTAATTGTCAAGAGCCAACCACATCGCTGTGGGTCTGGAGTCATATGTAGGCCAGAACAGGGTAAGGATGGCTCAGAGATAGTAGGAACTGCAGATGCTGGAGAATCCGAGACAACAAGGTGCAGAGCTGGATGAACACAGCAGGCCAAGGAGCATCATAGGAGCAGAATGCTTGCTTCCCTAAAAGACATCAGTGAACCAGATGGGTTTTTCCAACAATTAACAACAGATTCATGGTTATCATTAGACTCTTAATTCCAGACTCTTTTTATAAATTCAAATTCCACCATCTGCCACGGCAGGATTCAAACCCGGGTCCCTGGAATTTCCATTGTCCCTGGGACTGATCTGGATGATCAGTTCAGTGATTAGACTACTAAGCCATTGCCTCCCCTAACCACGAGGAATGGCTGTAGTTAGGTGTTCAACAGTAAACAATGCTCCCTTCCAGTTGGATTTCCCGAATTATTACACATGTCAAAAGAAGAAACATAATCAGCTGTAAATTATGTCCACATGTACAGCTCAAACAATTCCAACAGGATCAGTATTCAAATTTCAGTCTGGTGATGGAACCTGCACAGGGTTATCATTAGCTGTGGCGACAAGGGGAGGCGATGGTTTAATGGTATAATCACGGGATTTATTAATTTCAAGATCCAGGCAATGTTCTGGGGACCTGAGTTGAAATCACACTATGGTAGATGGTGGAATTTGACACTTAAATCAAAAGATACAGAATTAAGAGTCTAATGCTGGTTGTTGATTGTTGGGGGAAAAACTCATCTGCTTCACTGATGTTCTTTTAGGGAAGGAAATCTGCTATTCTTACCTGGTCTCAGATATATGTGACTCTAGTAGCATTATGGAGAACTATTAACTGTTCTCTGGGCAATGAGGGATGGACCATTAATACTGGCCTAGCCAGTGAATGAATAATACAAAAACTAAAGCATCTCCTCAGTCTCATTAGCCAGACTTTCATCCCAAGAGAATGATGTAGTAAAGAGTCATTTGCAGCATTGCATTGGCTACTGAATTACAAAGTAAATAGATAATGTCAGAATGCAACTGCCATGACACCAATACAGCTTGTAACATTCTCTGCTCCCAGGTCCTTGTCTCCACCTGTCTCTGACTTAGAGAATACAGGTCAATCCTTCGACAGCTGTGGCTAATGTGTTTCTTCCTGTATTGCAGTGTAAGGGGAATCTTCACACATTCTCAACACTTTGAAGTTGCGATTTCCAGCCATGCTTCCATTTAATCCCTATTATTAAAAAGGGAATTGCAATCGGAACAACTGAAGTAGGCTGTGTGCTGCGAAATCTTTCGACAGGATCCCGATTTCCAGCTACCACAGGCAG